ATATATATATATATATATATATATATATATATATATATATATATATATATATATATATATATATATTATTTTTCTCTAAAATATCACAGTTAATTTGTATATATTAGGATTGAGATAATTAATCTCATATAATATTATTTGATTGATCTTATGTGATAAAATTATTTAATATTAATATTATTCTTATCCAAAAAAAAAAAATTATTAAAGTTTTTAACCTTTTCTTATTTTATCTTGATATATACTTCCCTCTTTTCCTATTTTTTTTGCCCATTTGACTGTTCACGGTCTTCAAGACGAGTCTTAGAACACACATAACTTCATTTCCATACACGTAAAAATTATAAAAACGTGATATTAATAAAATATGTAATGACCGAATCTAACAAGATCACTCATAATTATATTATCTCTTATATATTAACAATAATTTACGGTTAAAATTTCCATAATTTGACCCAAAAAATGATAGTGGGGAAAAAAATAAAAGGACAAATGGAGTAGATTTTTTTGACGTTTAGTTAGGCACTTAGGCTAAGTATGTGGGGTCAATCCACTCACTTGGGGAAAATTATAAATTTTGTATCAATACTTTCCTAATTTTCACTAATAATTTTAAGAACTCAAGTGGGTTTATTTGCACCCCTCACTGCACAATGGCTTGCTTATAATAAAAACATACTCCCTCCGTTCTCGAAACTTCTACTCACTTTGCATTTACGCGGTCTCTAATGGACATCTTTGACCTTGAATACCATTGGCTATGTATGAGTAAAAATTACAAAAAGTTGATATTTGAAGAATTTATAATAAGATGAACTTAATAAGATCTCACACGCTAATTTATTATATTTATTGTAAAGTCATAAACTATGGTTAAACTTATTTTATTTTGACTACATGAATAGTAAGTGAGTCAAACTTTCTGAAATGGAGGTAGTATAAAAATTTGATATTGATAAAATACATAATGAATTTATAACCAACTATATATTAACAAGAATTATGGTTAAAGTTTTGAAAGTTTGATCTAAATGTATGTAATTGGACAAAAACTAGGAATAGAAAGAGTATATGAATTACTTTGGACATGTCTAGCAAAATTCATGTTTGGAAATTTAACCAATTTTGGTAGCAATTTTTAAGGCAATCAGTTAAGTACCCAAAAATATAGCATTAAGATTAATAAAAGCTTAATAATTAATTTTATAATGTAAATTATAAGGTCACCACTAGATACGAAGCATAAGAACTTCATTAAATGGATTACTTTTATTTATATCAGGATAACTTTTATTTATCTGATCTTGTGGGTGACTTAAGTACGTGATTTAAATTCTGTAACAATATTATGGGATATTGAGAGACTTTTATTATGTTAATATAAACCTAAAGTACACATTATAAAGGTAATAATTAAGATATATGAATGGACATGAGTCATCTATATTATCTATCTATTCTATCTTTTATCTATCTATCTATCTATCTATTTATATACTAAAACAAAGGGCGCCTAGATGCAAAAATGACATATGTCACTCTGTCAATTAATATTTTTCCGCCCATTTACAAACTCTTAAATAATGAAATTTTTAGAATATCTTTAATTGTTATTGCAATATTCCATATTATTATTGGTTTTTATCTTAAAATAATATCTTTCACATCTTTTTACTCATTTTGGTAAGTACAATTATATATAATTAAAAAAAATCTACGCCTTTTTATTCTTTTTTTTTTTATAATTTAATTTTTTTTAATTAATCATTTTTATCAAATCTTCAAATATTATAATATACAAAGTAATTTGTAAAATACTTTCCTTAAGTACAAAATATTATAATATACAAAGTACTTTGTAAAAAATCTACACCATTTTGAAAATTACGTTTAATAATCTCCTACTTAGTATGAATCATCACTACACGAAACAAGCAAATTGGCAACGGTTCAAACCCCCCCAAAGGCAACGGTTTTGAACCGTTGAGTATTTGGGGGTTGCCAAATCCCAACAAAATTGGCAATGGTTCAAAACCGTTGCCAACTAAATTAATTTAACCGTTGCCAATTAATTTAGTTGGCAACGGTTAACCGTTGCCAATTAATTTAGTTGGCAACGGTTAACCGTTGCCAATTGCTTGTTCGAGCCTTTTTTTTTTTTTTTTTATTTAAGCATTGGCAACGGTTAACCATTGCCAATTATGCATAATGTGTTTTAGACTTTTAGTATCTTCAAACACACATCGTGTATAATATAATTTGGTCACTTAAAAATAATCTTCTACTTAGTCCTACTGGTCACTTTAATATAGCTGTTTAAAAGCCTTTGTCTACTGAAAAATGTTCAGAAACCAATCTTTTAGAATGCCCAAAAATTAACTTTTAAGAGTGATTATAAAAGTATATATCCTACGTAAATAAGTATTATACTTGTTGGATGTTAGTCTTCGATCTTACCCCATAAGTTAATAATTAATGGCGGATTTTGATGAGAATAATCAGTTGGTGGAGTTGGAATGATTTTAATTGGAATATTTAACTATTAAAATCACACAAATTTTTATATGTGACTGGCCACATTGTGTGGCCGGGGTTACTTGACTTAATTGGTCAAGGGTTACTTGAGTTACTCGATCAGGGTTTCGGTCAAAGTTACTCGGTCAGGAGTTACTTAAGGGGATCAGTCAGCGGTTACTTAAGGGGTTCGGTCATGGGTTACTCGGTTAAGGGTTACTCGAGTTACTCGGTCATGAGTTACTTGAGGGATTCGGTCAGAGGTTTACTCATTCAGGGGTGAGGGTTCGGTCAGGGGTTACTCGGTCAGGGGTTACTTGAGGGTTCGGTTAGGGGTTATTCAGTTAGGGGTTACTCAAGGGGTTACTTTGTCATGAGGTTACTTCTCGATCATGAGTAACTTGAGTAACCCCGGCCACACGGTGTGGCGAGCCATATAGAAAAATCCCCCCTTAAATGATAGCTAATAGAATATTACAAAAAGATTAGTGGCAATAAAAGATTATCAAAAGATTGCAAAATATTTCATTAAATTATTACTAAGTTTGATATATATAGATTCTCATAAATATTGGGTAGGGGTAGATAATTTGGCCTTGGATGTGGATTTTATGTCTTGGCAATATCAACATAATTATTTATACACCTACATATATGCTTACCACATATTTAGAATAAATTATACATATATATTTGGACTAGTGTATTCTCCATATATACTTTGAAAATTCTAGAATTATTACTATGAGTATTATTATGAAAGATCATGCATATAAAGTTTTAGAATATTACATTTGTTTGATAATTTCCTATAGCATATGTCATTATGCTATCTAAATTGTTGTAAATAGATAATCTAATAATATATTATACAAGTAATAAGTAGTCAATTTATTTGTATAAAAAGTAGTCCTTCATCATTACAAATACAAAAAGAATTACATAAGAAAATTAGTGACAGTAATAAGTTGGCAGGTAATTGAGCGGGTAGGCGGGTTATAGACGGGTATGTATGACATCAAATCCACCGCTTACCCGTTACCTACAGTGGGTATGACTTATGTACTCAAATCTGCTTACTTGCCCACCAAAGTTGGACCCATATCCACTCCATTTAGGATAGGTGCGCTGCGAGACTAACATTTTTATACCCACTTGCCATCCCTAATTTTAAGTCTATAAATAAATTTAATAGATAAAATAATAGTATAATTTAATAATATATTATACAAGTAAAGTAGTCAATTACTTGTATAAAAAGTAGCCCTTCGCCATTACAAATACAAAAAGAATTACATAATAAAATTAGTGATAGTAGTAAGTTAGCTGGTAATTGAGCGGGTAGGCGGGTATGTAATAGACGGGTATGACATCAAATCCAGCGCTTACCCGTTACCCACGGTGGGTATGATTTATGTACTCATACCTGCCTACTTACCCGCCAAAGTTGAACCTATATCTGCTTCATCTAGGGCGGGTGCGGTGTGGGACTAACATTTTTATACCCACTTGTCATCCTTTTAAGTCTATAAATAATTTAATAGATAAAATAATAGTAAATAATTATGTAAATATCAACGTTAAATCATGCTATGATATTTCTAACTAGGAGCTATATATGTTAGAGCGTAACTTTTGATTTCTAATTGACAATTATTATTTAAATTTATTTTGGTAGGTATATTATACATATGAACTTATTATATCGTGCAATTGTAAAGGTACTATACTAGTTTATTGACTAAAACAGAAAATAATACATCTAAATTAAATCTTTCATATATAAAAAATTAAAATGTGATACATCTAATAAAAAAACGAAGGTAGTAAACTAATTAATTGGGCTTGAGATGGCATGACTGTGAATTGGACACATACTCAAAGCTCGACAAGACATGCAATTTTTTTGCAACTTTTTTTTTTTTTTTTGTTTTCATTCCATGCACCATTAGTTTGAGCACAAAGCCCACTAACATGCCACGTGGGCTTGCACAATCAGACTCCAGAAACACCCTTGAGCCTAGGTGGAACCGAGAAAGTACTAATGCAGTATTGTTATGCATTTGCAAATGTATAACAAATACTAAAATATTAAAAATCACATATAGAAAAGAGAGAAAAGAGGAGAGAGAAGGTGAATGAGACCACTTTTAATTGTACCACTGAAAACTTATATAGTACCATTGGTTATTTAGTGATACTATATATGCACGTAGTTAATATCACTGAATGCATATATAGTACCACTACATACATATATAATGCCACTAAATATTCAGTGGTATATTTGATCACCCAATAGTACTATTGATCACTCAATGGTATTACTCTAAAGTCAGAATATACATTACATGTAATTACATCCTTATCCCTCGTTATGCAATAATTTATGCATAACAATACTCCCTTTAAACTCCCTCCGGTGGAACCTATTATGTGTCTTTATAAATAGTGACATGGCATTGACTGTGGGGTCCTACTCTGCCATATCAGTTAGAGGTAAAGCAAGTATATGTAACTGGTACAACAATGAGGGGATGATACGTGACCCGGCCCATTATGTATAGGTAGTCCGGCCCAAATGGCATCTTTTGCATCTTTTCTAGCTACCTTTTTCCAATTTTATTTGATATTTGAATCATTTCTACTTTCATTTGTTGACTAACATATCATACGAAAGCCTATATTCATTATCAAATTGACAATTGTAATAAATACAATTATAGTTCTTATTTTCAAATATGCTCTTTTCAGGAGGGACATTACTACATTTGGTCATAAATATAAATCAGAGAATAGCGAGGACATATTCCTACAAGAATAATATGAGCCTATCAAAAATATGATTAAATGTTTTTTTTTTTCCTTTTGATAAATGTTAACATGTTAGTTTAACCAAATACAGTCCATAAAAAATTTGTCACTAATTACTAAACATGCAGTAAAAGTTACCGAGGATCCACAATAGTAATGTTTCTTGAACCAGAAAATGTTGAGCCAGATTGATCTACCCCAGAGTCTTCCAATCCATAAGAACCGGCTGTGAAAAAATGAGGCGGTGTAGGCGTAGGCAGAACTATAGCATCACCACTAAGTGCAGCAACCACTGATGCCATTCTTGGCCTTCTCGCGGCTTCTTCTTGGATGCACAACAACGCAATGTGGATGCACTTTGCTGCCTCTTCGGATAAGAAAGCATTTCCGATGGCTTTATCAACCAACTCCATTGCAATCTCTTCATTCCATAGCCTCCATGCCTGTAACAATTACATAATATACCACTATTTTAGAATGTCCGTAAATGAACCAGACCAACCAATATTTCAAAGTATCAGCTGTTTGGTTAAAGAAACATTATACTGTATGTTATTAATTATGACATGTTAGAAAATGTGACGACTAATTCTGGACAAAGGTATCGTGTAGCATATTCAAGATATAGGGCCAAAGTTACAAAACTTACACGATGAAGTAGTGATTCTCCATGTTCACTATCTAGTCTGCTGAACTTGTTCCTTTGACCACTAATGATCTCCAAGACTATTATACCGAAACTGTACACATCTGATTTGACAGAGTAGTGGCCAGTTAAAACATACTCCGGAGCCATATATCCACTGCATCATAATGTTAACTACATGAGGCTTTTCTACTTACTGAAGCTTAAATTTGGAAAAGCAGAAACTAACTACTCACAATGTTCCAGCAATTTTGTTAGTATTTCCCTGGGTTTCATCTGCTCCAAAAAGCCTTGCCATGCCAAAATCAGAGATTTTTGGATTCATATCTTTGTCTAACAACACATTACTTGGTTTAAGATCCCGGTGTATGATCTTCAGCCGAGAATCTTCATGAAGATAGAGTAGTCCTCTTGCAATTCCGCATATGATCTTGAACCTCGTCTCCCAATCCAATGCTGCACACTTAGTAGGATCTGCAGCAGTAAAATATAACAGAATGTTTGTAACAAAAAAAAAGTTTTGTTTCAGAGTTCATATGGAAAACAGGTTATTTCTGATGATCTTACCGTGCAGAAACTGGTCAAGACTTAAATTTGGCAAGTACTCGTAAACAAGTAACTTCTCCTTTTTTGAGATGCAAAATCCCAAGAGTTTCACCAGATTCCTGTGCTGAAGCCTTGCAACTAAAAGAACTTCTGTCTTAAACTCAGTAACACCTTGTCTCGAGTTCTTTGATAGCCTCTTTACAGCTATCTCTTGTCCACATTCAAGCTTTCCCTGTCAGAATATGCCCAACCAATTCATGAACACCAACAACACAAACGACGGTTTATATGCTGAGGAATGTACATGACACGAAATCTTTACCTTGAAAACTTCACCAAATCCACCTTCTCCCAGCTTTTTATCTTCTGAGAAATTATTAGTCGCGTATTTTATTTTTTTGAAGTTATATTTTAGGGACTCTGTGGTATCATCAATGTCACTTGAATCTGCAGGAGCAATTTACATGGTTAACTTAAACCCTTACATTTTGCATAGAATCTCTTATTGTTGGTAGAGTAGGTTCAGGGGACCTAATGCTAATCTAGAGTAGATCATAATCCTCATTATATGCAGTTAAAAGATAATTGTGATGATCAAACGGAAGCATTCTTTTCGACGTTAATCAAAACATTACTTAGCAACACATAAAATGTAGTCTGTAGTCAACTGTCAAGTGATCAGTAATTAGTATGAAGGGGTTGAACAAGAATAGAAAAACTTAGAGCAAGACGGATAATCCAGTATCCTCACCATCATATTTATGTGCTTTCTTGGACTTTCTCCTGCATACAAATAATATAACCGTGAAAACAAGAGTCACTACTAAAGCTGCACCAGCGATGGCACCTATACGTACTGCGTCTTTCTTCCTTATAGATTGTGAATGAGTTCCTGCTACAATGAATACAATACAGATCAATTAATGTACAAACCTTATCCTAGATATATCTTCAAAATAACGCGACTTTGCTGTCTACTTGTAAAAATAGAGAAAGTAGCATGCCACTATGCCAACATGGTAATGATCAACAAGAAGCTAAGTTGACAAAACTAAACAACATATTAAAACATAGGGAAACATAGCTTATAGTCATTTAGTCAATGGCGGAACTAGCAGGCTAAAGAAAACATTAGCTCTATGGTTCAAACATATTTGTTTATGTTTTTAGCTTCGTCACTACTCATAATTGCAACTCTTGTAAGATCAATCTTTCAAGCTCATTGAATTCTTCTGCGACAAAGCGCGAGGAAAGGCTCAAATGTATAAAATTCTGTCAATAGTTAGAATCCTTTTAATGTCATTAGTCAAATAATACAGCAGGTTTGACGCATTCTAAAGGCTTGTTATTAGAATAATCTAAATAATTTTGATTATATGCTTTAATGTAAGAAAATTAGAGATGCTTAATCTTGAAACAGCCTAATACAAACAAGAAAGAGGTTAGAATAAACTTAGAAATCCCAAGTTTGAAAATTAATGATTCGATGAAATCATGAAAAGTTGACTTTTAGAAATCCAATCTGGCAGAAAATGAACTTGGCCTAAAACACAAGATGTTGACTCAACAAAATAGAACTTTAATCAAACTTGTTACCTGATCGATTCGAAGAATTATCCATTGCATCTCCATAGAAAGGATAAGTATCATACCGTATATTACAATTTGGACACATAAGAGTACAACCTGCCTTAACATTGCACAGTTCTGTGATGTTATTAATTGTAACACGAAGACAGCTTTTGCAGTCCCTCAAGGTTATATCAGGTGTACACTCTGCAAGCGTGTAGATGGTGTTTAAGCTCGTCAAGTTATCAGCAAAAGTTATTTCTTGTGTCGCGAATTTCTTGTCTGGTGATCCACTTGAGGCATTATCTGCTGCATCATTCAGACTTTCTATTAGCACATCCATAAACCCTGTCATATTACTCGTAACATTCCAAATGTCTAGCGAGTTCTGCCTGTTCCACATCGGTATCATAGGAGCATCATGCATAGTGCCAAGAAACGGCTTCTCTGAATACCGGGTCACACATTGGTCAAAGTACCAAACAATGGATTCTTTCTTCCCAGGACAACGCGTTTTCAGCGCAGAAATAGCCAAGGAGACGCACTTCTGACAGGCAGCATTAGTAACATCAAGACGACAGAAGAAGAGACCATATATCTTACTGTCTCCGCTCCCTACAGTCGTGTTGTAGAATCGAGTTTTGCCTGTAGAATTCGATGATAAGTACGACAAAGTAGTGTCTATATTGATCTGGTAAGCACTCGTAGGAGCAACCGTCTTCATATCAGGACAAAGAGCATACACATAACCTTTGGAGTCTTCTGAATCATCAGCTGCTGCATATGAATTATGAGTAATAATAACAGTAATTAGCAGAACTAAAGACAGAAACAAATTTAGTTGTGAAAGAACAAAGAAAGCCATGTTTTAGAAACAAATGCTACTTTATGATTGTTTAACATGGTAGTGTTTAATATAGACCAAGTTTATAAGCCTGGGGTGATAAATGTCAAACTAATCTGTAATTAGTCCATTCTAATCCATATATTAGTATAATATAAAAATGTGTCTAAGTGGAACAAACTGTAATCATGGTTGGCCTGAACTAATAAAAATATTATGAATAATTGTATTTGGTATTTCGTTACGCTAGTATAAAATGACTAATTTAACCAATCAATCATCTTATTGCAAAGTGGAGCACCAAAGTGATAACAAAAAGAATGCTACCGGTATATACACCATCACAATCAAATGGTGTGATGCTTGAAAGTCAATGTTTTAGCAATAGTGTTATCAAGTATTCTAGTCTACCATAGCAATATTCATAGTTCACAAGTTTGAACCCTATACCAAGTAGTTTAGCTATATCAAGTACCATAAAATACCTCAAAAACAAAAACAAAAAAAAAAAAAAAAAAAAAGTATTCTACCATAATAATTACACTACTTCTGTTCGAAATAATTGAAAAGTTCGTTTCAAAAATTGTTAAATTTTCCATTATTTTCAATTTTGAAGTCTTAAATAGATTCTTTGATTTATATGAATGAATTTATTTTTCAATCTGCTTGATCTTCGTGTCAGATCACTTACTTATTTACAGAGTAATGAGACAAAGGAAATATAGTGCATACTAGTTTATGATGAGTTTTTCTTAAATTCAATAAATTAAATTATACTTTATACTACACAAAAGATGATATAATTGGCCTAATTATATCAATCAAATAAAGGTTTTTTTTTTTTTTTTCTTCAATACCATGTCATATCTAAGTGATGGAAGATGATATTCTGTCACTCATCAAACAATTTTCTCACCTCCAATATACAATCGTGTCAAATAGAACATTATTAATCTTCTATTTCTTGAAATCAACTAATGATCCCAACCAAAACGGAAAGTTAATTTCACATGCAAAGCTCTTAATCAAATTAATCTCTTAGTCAACTTTGGAGGGAATGCCGTTAAAAATAAAAAAAAATAAAAATAAAAATAAATTAAAAAAAAAAAATTACAAAAAAGTTTGGTGGTTAAACTTGCATGATCCCAATTCCTTCTAGAACATTTCCTGCCCCCTTTCTCGTTTAATTTTCTCTCTCCATATCTCTAATTTTTTTTTTTATAATATATTATCACAATAATTGTCCTCTTTAATTTCATTTTAAATGATACAAGTATTATTTTAGTTATCGTCTTCAACTTAATTTACACTCACTTAATCATCTCATTTTCTAACAAATTACCCTTATATATATATTTTATTGTAATATTCTGTACATGTAAATAGTCATAAAAGCAAACTATTTGTTTAGTAAAGAGAAGAATCATACTAAATTGACACCTCTTTGATTACAATCTATACCAACATTAAAGGTTATTAGACTCATTAAAAGCGATCAAGCGAAGGAGGGGATAAGAAAATTCTCACACCAAAAAATTTGTGCAATTTAATTATGCACATCCAAGTATCCAACTTTAGAATTTATTTATGTGATATTTTAGTGAATGTCAAATCTCAATTGTCAATAGATTGTTTTTGGTCATATCGTAGGTTTATATTATTGGCAGCACATGGCTAGTGGTCTTAAATTATCCAAAACAAACTGGCATTATGACTTACATCAAAGTTAATAGATACAAATATACAATAGTGAGCTTACATCAAAGTTAAGCTGGTAATTTTAGTTTGTTAGTATCATGAGTTCATTAGGACTTATTTAGTTCACCTTATTTTTATTTATATGATCAGATCTAGTCTGATCTGATCTGGTTTGATCTAATCTGATTAAAATTTGACCTTATTTATACGATAATATATAAAAAAGAAATATATCAAGTGGGATCGTATTAGATTCATATAAATATGTATCTTATTAATATGTAATTTTTATAATTTTTTCATTATGTAATTAAAGAGGCGATAATAAATCGCACATGTAACGATAATCTGATCTAAATTTATTATTTCTGATTTGATCTAATCTGAAATTACTTTTTATTACGTTGTTACGCTTGCCAATGCAAAACTTTAACGATTAATAACTTTAATTCTCCACAAGTAAAAATTATAGAATTTATATTTTATGATAGTACTTCTTGAGATGAATTCAAACATATCCCACATGAACATGTTTTTTCATACATATTATTCACAAAAGACGGTCAAAGGAGGGGTGGTAAATAGCGAAAAAGTCAAAACGGGTCAAGTAAAAAAGAACGGAGGAAGTATGACATATTTAAAGTTTCATATGTGGCTGGCCACACCATGCGACCAGCCACAATATGAGGCCCAAGCGCGTGGTAGGCCGGCCCTGTCTGTTTATGGAGTTCCGTTATAACGAACTCCGTTATAAGTTTTTAAATTTTATTTTTTGTTTTCCTTTTTGTCTAAATTATGTTGACCGCCATTTCTCTCCCTTGTCACTTCACTCTGCAACTTTGTCTCTTCATTTCCTCTCTCTCAATTTCTCTTTCTTTATTGATTTTCTTTGTTTAATTCTCTTTCTTCTTTGAAAGTCTCTTTCCTTCATTTTCCTCCATTAATCTACTTCGTTCTTCAATGGGAAAACTGAGAATCGTTTACGGAAAGAGTACCAAAGGCTCATCTTCGAACAAAAATGGTGACAATTCAGGTAATTTCGCAACTCTATTTTTGCAGTTTTTACGAATTTTCGCTTGTTTTCGATTTCTTTTGTATTTTAATGTGGTTTGTCATTGCGCACTTTGTAATTTATTGTTGATTCTTTTTTGTATTTTGTTAAATTATGTACTTGTTTTGAATTTCAATTTTGAAATCCTAGGTTTTTCATTATTTTTAAGTTTCAGATGTTTTATGGCTTTTATTTTATTTTTGAATTTCAAATATGAAACCCTAGGTTTTTTATTATGGTTTTTTTAATGTGTTTTTCTTGTTTGTTGATCATTTACTTGTTTTCCTTGTTTTGCATGTTTTATACTTTACTTTTGTTATCCTGATGTGATTTATTTGACTTCATTTGTTTTTTAGGTTTTATGCTTTGACTTTATTTCTGTTTTAACAAAATTTGATGCGCAATCTTCTTGTGTTATTTGTATTTTATGGCATACGTTTCATAAAATTTATAATCCTTGTTTTTTTACAATTTTTGATCTAGTTTTGACCTAATAGTTTAAGACAATAATTGTGACTTTGTGCTTTTGACTTAGTTTGATTTGTTAGGGGTTACTAGAACCATACATTGTTCACTTATAGTCTTCATATGTTAGGGGTTACTAGAATCATACAACGTATTTTAGGGGTTACCAGGTCTAATTTATTAATTATATATGTTTTTAGGGGTTACTAGTTGTTATCATAGTGGTTACTTATTGTTTTCATCTTCATATCAGGTTATTGGGTTGACCTAGGGGTTACTAGAATCATATAGTGCATATATGTTCTTAGGGGTTAGTAGGTGTTATTATAGGGGTTACTTTTTGTTTTCATTTATAATTAGTTGCTGGACATAATTACTATGTGTTGTCATAGAGGTTACTTATTCTTAATCAGATTGTTGATTCTTAGGTGCAAAGATAAGTGCTACTTAATTAGTAATGTTATTGGTACTTTCTTTGTTTTTTTTTTCTGGAATTCATGGTGGATTGAGTGGTCCTTCTAGCGATGTGAATGCTCCCAAAGAGGTTGATATGTCTGTTTCTGGTTCTGGTTTTGTGAGTGCTCCCAAAAGGTTGATATTTCTGTTTCTGGTGTTGTGAGTGCTCCCAAAGAGGTTGATATTTCTATTTCTGGTTCTAGTGGTGTACGTGCTCCCAAAGAGGTTGATGTGTCTGTTTATGGTTCTAGTGGTGTAAGTGCTCCCAAAGAGGTTGATATGTCTGCTACTGCTGGTTTTGTTGGTGTGAGTTTCCCAAAGAGGTTGATGCTTGTGATATTAGGGTAGTTGGCGGTGCTGGGTTTAGTGGTGCTGCTGGTGTAGGTGTGGTAAGTGATGCTCGGTTAAGTGATGATGCTGATGCTTATGTCAGTGTGGGTGCTGAAGTTGTGCAGGATGCTTGTGTAAATACTAATGACCAAGATGATGTTGATGCAACTGCAGATATAGATGATGAGATGAATGTTCCGATTATTTATTCTATACCTCCTGCTAAACAATCATACTTATTGTCTAAAGATGGTTCTCTGTCAATGAAGAGTAATGATGAAGATCTTGAGATAAAGCCAACTGCTCTGTCAATGAAGAGTAGTGATGAAGATCTTGACGTAAAGCCAAATATTAAGAAGCAAGGTAGGAATTTGGTTAAAGATGAAGATGCAGATGTAAAACCAAAGCTTAGATAAGCAAAAACATTAACAGCTGTCTTTGAATCTGTTGATTTGAAACCTGTTAGAACTACTAGAGCTTCTACAGCAATAGTAGCAGAAGAAGCTGAATTTGTCAAAGTCGTAGACGTTGAAAAGGGGTAAGATAAATATTATAGCAATTTGTTCTGATTTGTTTCTTACTTGGGTTACATGGGTTAACCTGCTATATTCTTTTATGCCTGGAGTAAGTTCATATTTCTGATGTTAATTTCAGAGGTTACATATGGGGTTACTTAAGAAGTTCATATTTCTGATGTTAATTTCAGGGGTTACATATGGGGTTACTTAAGGGGTTACTAGGGGTTACATAAAAGGTTACTTAAGGGGTTACATAAGGGGTCACATAAGGGGTTACTTGTTATGTTGTACTATGTTTAATTGTTTCTAAAGGGTTACATATGGGGTTACTTAAGGGGTTACTTAAGGGGTTACATAAGGGGTTACTTGTTATGTTTTATTGTTTTTAAGGGGTTACTAGGGGTTACATAAGGGGTTGCTTGTTATGTTTTATTGTTTTTAAGGGGCTACATATGGGGTTACTTAAGGGGTTACTAGGTGTTACTTGTTATGTTTACTATGTTTTATTGTTTCTAAGGGGTTACATAAGGGGTTACTTAAGGGGTTACATAAGGGGTTACTTGTTATGTTTTACTATGTTTTA